CACAATACACCCAGACAGACATAAGTTAGCCAAACAGGCTGGAATTCCATAAGATATTATGCCATAAAAAGTAAGACAAGGTTGAAATTAATCAAATTTAGTACTTGGTACAAATTCACAGAACATTAGAGTTTTAATTGATCTGATTAAATATGTGACCCAGACAGTGCCTTAACTGCAATGAATACCCTGCATGAAGAACATGTTATATTATTAAGCTAAAACAGAAAAAGCACATATTTGCCTGGTGTGTGTGTGTGTGTGTGTGTGTGTGTGTACATCTATTTCAAGAAACATTGTACAGTATATTGCTTCTCACCAGTTTTCTCAATTTTAGAGGGCAGCGGGCATGTGGAAACTTGATAAAAGTGTTGTTGTGCCTTTCAATGGATAACAAATAAATAACAGATCAGAGTTGGAAGGAACCTTGTAGGTCATCTAGTCCAACCCCCCACCCAAGCGGGAGACCCTACACCATTTCTGACAAATGGCAGTCCAATCTCTTCTTGAAGGTCTCAAGTGATGGCGCTCCCACAACTTCCGAGGGAAAGCTGTTCCATTGGTTGATTGTTCTCACTGTCAGAAAGTTTCTCCTTATTTCCAGGTTAAATCTCTCCTTGTTCAGTTTCCACCCATTATTCCTTGTCTGGCCTACAGGTGCTTTAGAAAATAGCTTTAGAAAATACCTCCCTGTGGCAGCCCCTCAAATATTGGAAGACTGCTATCATGTCTCCCCTGGTCCTTCTCGTCACTAGACTAGCCATGCCCAGTTTCTGTAACTGTTCTTCATATGTTTTTGTCTCCAGTCCCCTAATCATCCTGGTTGCTCTTCTCTGAAACTCTATCTAGAGTTTCAACATCTTTTTTATAATGTGGTGACCAAAACTGGATGCAGTATTCTAGGTGTGGTCTTACTAAGGCTTTATAGAGAGGTAATAGTATCTCATTTGATCTCGATTGCATCCCTCTGTTAATTTAGGATTGCGTTAGCTTTTTTGGCTGCTGCTGCACACACTGCTGGCTCATATTTAGCTGGCTGTCCTTTAAAGACTCCAAGATCCCTCTCTCAGTTACTGCTATTGAGCCTGGTTTCCCCCAGTCTATACGTGTACTTTTGGTTTTTCTTGCCTAAGTGTAGAACTTTACTTTTCTCTACACTGAATTTCATTTTGTTAGATATGGCCCAGTGTTCTAGTCTGTCAAGATCCATCTGGATCTTAAGCCTATCTTCTTGGGTGTTAGCTATTCCTGCCAGCTTAGTATCATCTGCAAATTTGGTAAGTTCCCCTTCTATTCCCTCATCTAAGTCATTAATGAAGATATTGAAGAGTACTGGGCCTAAGAACGAACCTTGTGGCACCCCACTGCTTACTTCCCTCCATGTAGACTTAGACCCATTAAGGATGGATTGGATAGTAAGCTAATGAGGCTAAATGACAAGTAAATTGCCAAATAAAATTATATAAATAGGACTTGGCATCCTCACTCCAAAATTCAAACCTATTCCTTCAACACATATCACATGTCCTGCTCCAAAATCATCCCCTCTCTCCCTCCCTCCCCCCCAATTGTGATCATTAGGCAAGGGTTACCTGTACTTTAGCAAAAATCCAATCAATGTGAATGGATTCATAAGCTCTTATTCAGGAGCAAAGAAGGCACAAGTGCTTGTTGCTTATAGCAATCCAATACTTGGCTACATCATCCAGGAATCATTAAAAAAAAAAAGTAAACTTTTTAGACAATTTGTTCTTGTCTAGTTCCAAAATACAGTATAGGCAGTTAGTCCTTTGACTTACAACGGTTCTCTTAGTGACCGTTTGAAGTTACAACAGTGCTGGAAAAAAACCGACGTCCATTTTTCACACTTATGACTGTTGCAGCATCCCCATGGACATGTGATTTACATTTGGATGCTTGATAACTGACTCACATTTGTGACCGTTGCAACCTTCTGACAAGCAAAATCAAGGGGGAAGCCAGACTCACTTAACAACGTTATTAATTTAACAACTCCAGTGATTCACTAAACAACTGTGGCAAGAAAAGTTGTGAAATGGGGCAAAACGTCATTGAACAAATTTCTCACTTAGCAGCATAAATTATGGGCTCAATCGGGATCGTAAGTTGAGGACTATCTGTAAAGCTGCCTAATGCTAAATTAGTCCACTTTGTGGTATTCTAACAGGCAAGGATTCCTTAAGTCAGGGGTCTCCAAACTTAGCAACTTTAAGACTTGTGGACTTCAACTCCCAGAATTCTCCAGCCAAGCTATGCTGGAGTCATAGATGTCTTTTCTCGCTTACACCCTTTAGCAGTTTGCAATCTGCAGTGATCTTTTCTATCAATTACTGAAAATAGGAATGCTGGATATTGGGTCTTGGTTCTTTTGTTTACAAAGCAGAAGATGATTTGCATCCCTACATTTAAGTATTTCAGTGTATTAAGTCAGGGGTCCCCAACCACCGGGCCGCGGACCGGTACCGGGCCGTGGATCACTTTGCACCGGGCCACAAAGAAAATAAAAATAAAAAATAAAATAAAAATGGCAGCTTTCTTCGCCTTCGGTGAATGCTGCTGGGATCAGGGATCAAAGACACAAATGAAAGAAGGGGAGGGAGGAAGCAACCAAAGCCTGTCCTGCTCTCCGGCTCAGTGGCTTCGGTTTCCTCCCGCCTCGTTCCTCTCTCAGTCGCTCTCTCGCTCCTTCACCAGCCCAGGAAGAAACTGCTTCAAAGAAGCCGGCAGGGTGGCTTCTCCTGTCGGCGCAGCTCCCCCGAAGCGCCCGTTCACCCCCACCCCGCCGCCAATCAATCCAGGTTCAATCCAGTGCTCCGTTCTGCCTGCCTGCCTTCGTTTCTGGTTGTTTCGGAGCAGCTTCGGCTGAGAATAATAACTATTCGCCTCTTTTTCTCAGCCGAAGCTGCTCCGAAACAACCAGAAACGAAGGCAGGCAGGCAGACAGGCAGGCAGAACGGAGCACTGGATTGAACGGCGGGCGGCGGGGTGGGGGTGAACGGGCGCTTTGGGGGGAGCTGCGCTGACAGGAAAAGCCACCCTGCCGGCTTCTTTGAAGCAGTTTCTTCCTGGGCTGGTGGAGGAGCAAGAGAGCGACTGAGAGAGGAACGAGGCAGACACCTGAGGGATGAGGCTGAGGGAGGGAGGGAGACACCTGAGGGATGAGGCTGAGGGAGGGAGGGAGACACCTGAGGGATGAGGCTGAGGGAGGCAGGGCTGAGAGGCGGGGCTTCTCAGCCGTCCTGCAGGGACTTGTCCTGAGCCGCGGAGACAGCCGTGGGCCGCCGCCGCCCAGCGCTCAGTTTTGAAGGCGCTCCTCAGCCCGGCGCAGTTCCTGAATCTGCAGCTGAAACCCTCCGTTTTAAATGTCCCAATAGAAGAGAATATCTGTCGCTCAGGGT